GAGAGGCCGTTGCCGGCGGCGGCCGTCCAGTTGTGTTGTGGGGGCTGTTGTTTCGTAAGATGAGTGGGCGATGCGTTCAATTTGGGGAAATTGATAGCACCGGGCGATCGGTTGGGTATAGTAGGCGAGTGCGACACTAATGGAAAGTTAATATTTTCTACAGATTGTACTGTCAATCGTAGAAACGACGGCTTATTCGGTGTGTTTGGCAGTAAACGGCGTTTACCTGTTCTACCGGTGCCGCTGAGACCAACACTCAGAGTTGACCTCTGCTGCACAGGTAGCGAATGAGCCGATGAAGGGCTCGGACTGCGGGACCGTTGCTCGAGTTGGGTTGTGCCGTAATATTCAGATGTCTGGCCGTTAGGGGGTGGGTATGGCGATGGGCTCCGCGATCGGGCCGTCAGGTTTGCGTTGTGAAAGTCGGGAGAAGCGCTGCGACTTCGCTCCTGTTCCTGAGGACCAGTCCAGGGCCGGTGCCGCTTACGACGACTGCCCCGACGGCTCGGACTCCGACCCAATTGCGTCGACTCCCATTCACCGCCTCTTAGTTTGGCTATAATTGAGTGCAATATTAATATCAATTCATTATGTCTTATGTTGGGCGCGGTAGGCATACCCCGTGCCCTTCCCTTGCGAGAGGTCTCATATTTGACATAATCGACAATATCTGTGACGGTTTCAGCGAATCCGTGATCTTTTTGTGGCGATGAGGACCTGCCTATAGGTGTGGGCGATCGGTGTCTGGCTGTGGCCTCACCTCCTGTGCCAGTGGTGGGCGCTGTACTGCTATCTCTCGGTTGAATGGACGGGGATCTGCTTCGAGAACGGGATCGTCGTCTAAACGAACCGGTCCTGTGATGCGGATCTGGATGTAAATGAGTGGACAGTTGTGCTAATGCTGAGACCACCGGCTGATCCTATAGGGAGACAACCATATGTTTAATTACGAGTTATCGATGATATGTCATTTATTATTACAAATCCATGAATATGTATGGAATATATAATTTATAATTTCAAACGTGATTAAAATGAGTGCAAAAGTTGTTAATAATGATAATAATGGATGAAATCATTAGTGATATAATTGGATATAATATTTGGATTAAAAGTTTGGATAAGTTTTGTGCACCAAATGAATGAATCAGTGAATGAATCGTTCGCTTAAATAATTTTTTGTTTCATTACATTAATTGAATGTTAATTGTTTGGGAATTCAATGCAATCAATACATTCAGCACTAAATGGAAATAAAATATAATAATGAATGTTTTGATCACAAATGTTGCTTAAAAGTTGTTAAAAAAGTATTTTGCGGGAATGGGTGTGGGTTCGGGCAGTTTGTATGCGTGGGACAAATATATAGACAAATGAGCATTTGGTGGCAATACATATGCCGATAGCACTGGGGTTTGTCTCTAATCTCAATGATGTTGACGATGTGTTTGAAAACACTCACATCAGAGCCTCTAATAATATGCTTAACACTTGTTTTAGCACTAGATTTAGCACTAGTTTTAGCGTCTGGTCTTCTAAGTGCCACTAATTCAAAGTCCTTTTAGAGTATGGGATCGAAAACAAAATAAAAATAATTTCAAATTAAATTATAAATCACTACTTATTAAAATATTATACATATGTTAAGCACATGATATCAAACACAATACATAACACATACATATACTACACATTTGATACACAATCGGATACTCTGTAAGGTATCACTAATTTATACATATTTAATCTACAATTATCTAAAATATATGATAACAACCCATTATGAACGCGTGTGTGCTCTACAAATATGTTCATTTGGTTACTATTAGTCACTATTTTATTAACAAAACAATTTTGTAATATTTTTAATCCAGAAATCCAGAGATACTGTAAATTGGATGACTAATAAAATGAGGGATACAAACATTAATTTACTGCTAATATACTGTATAATAAGGCATATTACTTATCCCAAAAGAAAGTATTAAAATAACAAAATTGTTTTGTTAATTGGTTTCAATACATCAATACAATCAACACATCTATGCTTTTAAGCAAAACTATTCTAATGACAATGTATTACATTTCAATTAATTAAAACTCTATAAAAATACACTTCTATATAAAAATACAAATATTCAAAAGTAACTTTTTTAAACACATTTAAAAATACTTTTTACACTTTCAAGTTTGTGAATAGACTGCAAATTCTTTACAATTAATAACAGTTTAAATGCAATATTTGTCTAAAATAATCCATTTTGTTTGTGTGCACAAAGATCTGGACAGTACTTGACATCTAATACTCGTAAACGCCATTCAATATAAGCCATAGTTTGAGAAATAGTTAATTGAGGACAGCTTTTGTCACAAATACTGTTATCATATAATTCACATCAATATTACTGACGAATGACTGGACGGACCACTACTTGAGACATGCATTCAATAATAACTGGATCTACAAATTGGACAGCACTGGGGTGTCAGACCTGAGCGCCTCGGAGCTCACTACCCGTGCCCATAGCACCGGCCATAATAGATCGTCTTCTCCGACTCCGGCGACTGCTTCCGCGTCTCATAAACCCCATACTCTTCTCTCGTTGTCTCTCTCTATCCGAATCACTACATCCAACAAACGCACAGTTAGTCAACGTTTATCCAACAAATGGTTTATACTGTAAGAGCGGGAAGGCCTACCTGTGGATGGAATCCTTGAGAGACTCCTTACGGCCCGCCTCCTTGATGGCCGCGACAGTCATTTCGGCGAAATTTTGTTCGTCGGCCGGTTTGTTAGGGTTTCTAACGGCGCCCATAAGTCGGGCCAATAGTGACGGTTGCTATTATAGTGAATGATTTGTATGGATATATCATATAGTTTTTGCATATTATCAGTCAATAATTGCTATGTTTTTGTCCACATTTCATAATATATTGCAGTGAATGTAATAATGATTCGCAGACCAAAATAGGTAATAAAATTACAATAGTTTTAGTGCCATTGAAATGCCAAAAAAGTAAAATGTGTTCAAATGTAAGAAATGTAAGAAAATATTTGTGTTGTGCAAAGAATTCAAAAAATAGGATTTGAAAATAAAGTTTGAAGTTTAAGAATAAGAAATACATAGAAATGAAAACATTGTTTTCTTGTCGATAACAAACTATCGACAAAACTCTAACACATTAAGTTTTTAGGCACTAAATCATTGTTTACAACACATTATATCTAAATAAATGTGTATATAATTGTGGAATAAAAATGTTTTTAAGAATAGATATTCAAAGAATGAAATATTGATAATGGGGTCGAAAATTCTGTTATACCTAAAGATCTGATTTGTTTAGATAAGTAAAGACAGGGATATATCACAGCTCAGACTCATTTCAAAACACTTGGTTTATCTCAAATTTTAAATTTATATAACAATGATATACATTCCTATGTGAGGGAATTTAATTATAATATATTTGATAGAATATTATACTATAACGTTTAAACTATTATATTATATAAATATAATTATATTATTATATTATATAATAGTATATCTACAATCGATACTAAAGCCACTAAACATCGCTTACATATTCTAGGGTCTAAACTAATAAAGCTTTCTAATTGACATTTATTTATAGGGAATAACAGATTTACGCCACAACTAATACACAATACAAATACTACACGTCATTAATTTACAACTAATTTTGATTATTATATAAATATAGAAATATACTAAAAACATGCAATATATTGGAATAATTTATACAATACTATGTATGCTATACAATGCAATGTTTCATTTGTAAAACATGGTTAAATAACTATTTAATTACAGTGTAAATGGTATTCACTAATAGTTTTTGATTGTGAAACACAAATAGAGACTAAATAGAGAGAGACTAAGAGACTGAGAGACAAACCAATGAATACTTCGATCATTACCGGCAGGACACAGACATTGAAATGATCAGACATACAGTAAATGTTATATTATAAATACAAAAGTACAATATAATTATCAATTTAAAGACAATGAAATGCAATACTTATATTTCATTACTATTAAGCAACATGCATTTGATAGATGCCAATTATAATGGTTTGGAAGTTATCTCGGCCATTATTAGACAAATAACACTCATAACTACAGCTCATATACACATTAGACTATATGACAAAAACGAGAGATAATTTCCAAAACCAATTCATATTTTCAATGAAGACTTGACAGCATTAAGATATTCATTGACTTTAACAGGCAGTTGGGTTAGGGAAAACCTTGGTACAATGTAAAAACTATTATTAATAATAATTATGATAGAGTATTGATATATAAGTAGTAAAGATGGGTTAGAAATAATAAAGTCTTCCCACTATGAAAGCCATTATATGAATATAATAAATAATTTACATATAAATATAGTTATAATTGTAATTATTTAAAAGTGGATCAAATAAGTCATTACCGAATGGGTTGAATGGAATGGCATAACAAATATATTTGAATATAATATCTATGGAATAGGCATTTGAATAATAGTGAAAGGATTATGATATGAATGAATGGAAAATCGCATAAATCGGATAAATGGTGTGAATAGTCAGTGCGGATATAATGGGGTATTGAAATAGATATATATTGTCTATTAATACACTACCGCTTCTGGAGGAAGAATGGACTGCCTTTCCTGCAAAATAGACATCGAATACAAAGACAACATTACGAGACGTTAAGAGTGACACAAAAAGCGCTTTGAAAATGAGTTAACAATCAGTGGATAAATACATCAATTAATGTAAAAATAAGATCTTTCTTGGTTACGTTTGTTTGAAGTGATTATTCACATAAAATAGTAAACAATTGGGTCGTTATTTCCTTATCCTTATCCTTATCCTTGTTTTTGGGAAAAAGGTTTTGTTATACTTTATGTTATGTAAGTCTAAGAATTGGATTAGATTGAGTCAAACAAATGTTTGTAGTTTCCTTTGATTTTGGCGATTATTGTTTTCTCTAATTGTGAACATCTCTACAGTACAGCACATCTAACACTTACAGAGAGGCCGACGCCCTGTATTTGTCCGAAACGAGTGGTTTTCCAGTTCTCGAGTACTAAAAAGCCGGCATATATTTTGCCGACAGTCAGACGTCCGTTACGCAGCTCTACAGTAGGAATGGGTATTGGTTTGCATTAGAGTACAGATTATAGATTATATGACA